TGACACTGATGATTAATTTACCAAAAATTTAGGGGAAGCTATGTATGGCTGGAAAACCAAACCCTGAGAACAAAGACCTGTGCCACACTTTCACTGGGATCAGTTAAATTAGAGCAGGACAAAACTGGTTAGCAAATCTGTTTTGCGAGGTTGTTCCTCCCTGGGTGTTAAACAGAACAAGTATTCACCAGACACAGAAGACAATAACCAAAATGTTTTACACTTACAGTGTTTGTGGGGGTTTTTCCTGTCTGTGTGGTTAGCAAAGGGAAGCAATGATAGCAAACAGAATCTTCCAACTGGTAGAGCTCATCCCCTCACATCACATTTCTATCAGAAATGGGAAAACCCACCTGTGCCTCCAGCTTCTAGGCATCTTCCCAAGTACAAATGAATTGGTGAAAAGCTTATGGAACAGTTTATTCTCTTGACGCCTACAAAAGCTCATGAGCCACACTCATTTCAACACACTTGTTTCCAAGTACTGACCAGGTATTCCCAAACTGCATCAGTTTAGTGCTTGAAAGCTTCAGCAGCAAATTCCTAACTCAAGTTATTTCAACAGATTCTGGTAGGTTTAGACCTTTGTTTTAAAACGTGGTTGGTTTAAGAGAATGGATTTAAACCAAGAAATTACAGTATTAAATAAAGGAAAAAACCCAAAAGATGCATTGAAGTCCATAATCTGTCACCACCTTTATCTAAATGGTGGCTGTCCAAGGAGATGAGATTTCCATGAGATTTGCCCACAAAACCAAACTAAATTTGAAATTATCCCATTTACAGGCGGATGCTGCCAAGCACCAAGGACCTGGTCAAGGGAGGACTCTCAGAGGTGTGTTAGGCCCTGCCTCAAGTTCTGCTTTCTATTCAAAGTCCTGCCAAGGCACCTTCCACACTGGGAACTCCAGGGACAGCTAATGGATCTCCACGCAGAGCAGACTGGAACATGTAATATACAACAATAGTGTTATGGCAGTAATTAGCTCCAAGTTCTAGACGTAACCTAGTTCTATGACATAGTGAAGTGCAGAGTGTCTCCCACCTGACAGTCCAGGAAAGCTCTGAAGGGACCTGCCATACCACGGCCACAATGCAGCCATGGGAAGCAGAAGGGAATGACATAGCCCATGTCACAGGGCAAGTTTCTGGCAAAGGATTTGGAAACAAACTCTGCCCTGTCCCACTCCCAGGCTGGTGCTCAAGCCACCAGGCACACCTGGCTCTGGGACAACCACTGTGGACAAATCCCTGCATTGCATCTGCCATGCTCCTGGATTAGAGCAAACAATGCAAACACAGCTCTGCCCCAGTGCCCTGACTCACTCCTCCCAGTCACTGAATCCTTCAAGGCTCGACCTTGCCCTGACTGTTCTGTCTTCTTCCTCAAGACACACCTTGGAACAACCATCACCAAAATAGTGAAGTACACAAAATCCCTTCCTGCCTTCAGGCTGAGCACCACAGGAATGACCCCAGAGCTATGGTCATAAGGAAAAGAAATTGCATAACACCCATTCCTTAGAAAAGAGAGAGAAAAAAAAGCACCTCACTGCACTGCACTTGCCTGGACAGAAGGACCCCAAGCACAAGCACAGAAGAAAATGCAGAAGTAAATAACTTCCTCACCTCCAGCAGCACACTCATGACACAAAACTTATCTAGAAATGACATCTAAAGAACACAGTATGCCATAGATGACTAAGAGGCAGAAGCAGAGCACCATCAGCTGCGCTATGGATCGATCCAGGAACAATTGGTACGTCAGGAAAAGCGTGCCAACGCACAAGTGAGGTGGCTTTGCTGCATAGCAAAATGGAAACTTTGGAGTCTGAAGGCTGGTTCAGAGTGAGCAACGCTCACACGGTGTCAGGGTTTTGAGGTGCATTTAAACCTGCAAACTGCCCCCTCTACATTCACACCAACAGAGGGACACACAAACATTCCTCTCTCTCCAGCAGGAAGAGTACCTCGGCATGGACTTGTGATGGACAAGCTGTTCTGACACACACTATTAAACTCAGTACATGCTGTACTTTCTAATGGATGCAGCTGCAATGCCACAGTGGACACCTGGGAGCTCTCTCTTCCCAGTCTGGTGCCTGTGCTCCAGGGAAACCTGTTACATTAAATGATCAGGCTCAAGAAGAGTCAAAATCTGGGAGCAGCTCGGCTGTCAGCAGCCCGTGAGACTGTTTTATGAAAAAAACACCAAAACAAAAAAAACACAACCTGAGCAACAAGTCAGCTGAGAGTGGAGGGAAAGCAGAGGAAGTGGCGTCTGTCAGTGTTTGGCACACAAAAGGCTGAGAGCTTCAAAAAATCGCTGGTGGAAAAGGTGACACAGAGAAAGGCACCTGTCTGGGGGGTCCTTTCCCAGAGCAGCCTGAGCCGTGCTCTGTGAGGCGCCAGGGCAAGCTCCACCCCAGAGATAACACCAAGGCGCTTTGCCTCTCAAGGCTTTGTCTCTGTACAGAGGTGTCTCGGCCAGCACACAGAACAGCGAGCCCACGGGCAGCTTGGTGGCAGATTCATATTCGTATTCGTATGCAGGGACTTCCTTCCAAGCTAAGCTGTGCCCTCGCAGGGATCTTTACAGCCCTGGTGCAACATCTGAAGTAAAAAATCACCAGCTCTCCAGGGACTAAACTGTCCCAGCAGAAACACAGGTGCAAACCAGACCCCCCACCCACGCCTAAGGCCAGGACACCCACCAGGCAGGCATCAGGGGCCGTGGCTGACCGGGGGCCTGCATCCCTCCCCCTCGAGGAAGCAAAGAGGGAGAAAGCCGGAATGTGCTCCCCACCCCCAAGGCAAAAGGCCGAGGCCGCGACTCGGCACACAGGCTTCCTGTTCCTCGGTTCCCCCCACACATTCTGCACCCGCGCGGGCACCACACCGACGAAGCCTGCACTACCCAATGCAAGCATCCCTACAAACCCACCTTCCTCCCTTCCCAAGCTCCTCCTTGTCCAGGCCCTGTCTCCTCCAGCTCTGCCTCCTCAGCCCACCTCAATACTGAGATGTCCAGCACCCTCCCCACATCCCTCCTGCGCGCCCGGAGCTCCCCACTGCCCTATCAACCACGCCACCCAGCCCCAGCCTCCCCTCTGCCCATCCCCGCCGCCCCCAGCTCAGCCTCCCCACCCCGACCACCCTCCTCCCGCACCCCGCACGCCCCCACCCCGTGCCCGCTCTGCCCTGCCCGCTCCCGGCTAGCTCAGCGCCCGCCGGCCCGGTGCCACCCCGTTACACTCCGGTCCCCCATCCTGCCCCGACACCGTGCCCCCCTCCCCCGGCACGCCCCGACGGGCTCTACCCCGTGCCCGGGCGGCGGGCACAGCCCCGGCCCCTCCCTCAGCCCGCCAGCTCCGTCCCCGCCCCGCCCCGGCGCTCCCCGCCCCTACCCGGCGGCCGCGCCGTCGAACTTGAGCGTGAGGGTCTCCTCGATGATGCGGTTGTTGACCTCGAGCAGGATCATGTCGGTGCCGGGGGCGCTCTGGGGGAGCCGAGCCCGCTGCGCGCACCGGGGACCCGCCCGACCCTGCGCCGCCGCTTCCGCTCTCGCGCGCGCGCGTCACGTCCGGCCCGGCGCCGTCCAGCGCGCGCGCAGGCCCCGCCCCGCCCCCGCCCAGCACATGACGTCATACAGACCACGCCCACCGGGCCGGAGGGAAAACGGGGTCCGGCGGGGAGACCCCGGGTGTGGGGGACACGGGGGCGCTCTCGTGGCGTGGGAATCACCCCCAGCTGGGCTATGGGGCGCGCCTGGGGCGTGGGACAGGGGTCAGCAAAAGTGTCCCGCCCGCCTGTGGGATGCTGCTCGTGTATGGAGGTCCCCGAAAGTGTGGGGCGCCCTTGGGGTTATAGGGACACTCCAGGGAGCAGTGGGTGTGCCCTAGAGTATGGGGTTCTGCATAAGATAGGGTGCGCCGGGGATACGGGTATGCTCACGGAGGAAAGGGGTGTCTTTGTGAAATGGGTGATTTTGGGTCTGCACGGCCCCAGAAATGTGTGAGGTGACCCCAGAGAGCGGTGACACCCCAGGGGACTGTGAGGGGGCTCTGGAGCTGGGGGTTGTCCAAAATAGGGTGGGTGTCCCCAGGGAATAGGAGTGTTGGGTGTGTAGTGACACCCAAGGGATATGATGGAGCTCTACAACTCTACTGGTGTCCCCAGGGAAGAAAGGTCACCCAAAAGTAGGGAGTACCCCTACAGCTGACAAGCACAGAAAGCTGTGAGGATGGGGGTGCTCCAAGGGTTTGTTCCCAGAGGAATGTGGTTGCCTGGTGGGTGCTCTTGGATGCAGGTTTCACCTAAAGGCAATAGGGGTACTAAGAGGAGTGAGCTAGAGGGTTCCCTAAGTCTGTGGGGCTGGCACAGAGGCACAGCTCTGTCTGATGGCATGGTTCAACTTGACTCAGCTTGGCATGGCACAGCTAGGGTGGGATGGAAATGGGACTCTACTCTGGGAGGGTCCCCCACAGCAATCCCCAACAGGGGGCAAGCCAGCCCTGCAGTTCACCTGTGCACCCCCTAAAATACTGGTGCCACCCTTGCTCTATCCATGGGGAAACTGACTCACAGAGCTCGGCGCTGCCATCACCCACTGGCCACGGCCTTGGAGAGCTTCCAGTCTTCTGGGCGGACTGCAGCACCCAGGGATGTCTTGGAGGGGAGCCCTGCACTGACTGAGGGCCTGGGGACAAGGTGGAAACCCCCAGGAGGCATCACTGCAGGAGCGACAATGCACCCCCGGGTGCACTGCCAGTACGGGCTGGCCTGGGACACCCTGGGACAGGAGGGTGATGGGTCTGCAGGCTCCCCTTAGCCTGGGAAAGGCATCCTGGGGGGACCGGGGAAGGGTCCCTTGGGCTGCCACTTCCCCTTCATGCTGGGAGAAGGTTTTGCAATCTCGCTTCCTCCCCAGGCAGCATAAAGAGGGCAGCGGAAGGAAGGGGCACTGGCTGGTGGCACTGCACGGGTGCAGGTGAGGGACCCTCCAGCTGGCGGGACCCCCGGGCCGGGTGCTGCGCCACATCCCACCACACTTTTTTCTGGAGCCCTTTGGGGGTCACATCTGGATTTGAACCAGTGCCTGTGTGCTTCCCTGTGAGAAAAAGCTTGGGATCAGAAGAGCCCAGATTTGAGGGGACAGCGACAGCAGCGAGTAGTGAGTCCCTGGGGTTCTCCACTGGAGGTCGGGGCTTTCCTTGGGCTTTGACAGCCCCCCAGCATCTGTCTGAGCCCCTTCACGTGTGGAGCAGGCTGGGGGCTGGGGTGGGCTGCTCCAGCTGCCCAAGGAGCTGCCTGGTGCGAGGGGAGAGGGAGGTGAGAGGTGGGGGCACCCAGGGCTGTGCTGAGGGCTCGTCTGGGGTGCAAACCCTCCATAGGTCCCAGGGACATCAGCCTTGGGTGCTGTGGGGGGAAAGTGCCTGCTCCCATTTCCTTGCACAGCGATGAGCCAGGAGGGTGCATCCTCATGGTATGTCCCTCCTTCCTCCCTGCTGGGACCCCCAGGGCCACCCCAGTGTCCCCCAGCCCTTCCAGGGTCAGGAGGGGAAGTTGTGTGCTGCTTGCTCCCCCAGTTGGGCCAGCTGTGGGATAGCCATGAGTGGGGGAATACCCAGTTCCGGAGGAACCACTAGGATTTTGGAGTGCGGAGGAAGAAAGAAGCATCCAGAAACAGACAGAGGGGAAGCACTGGTGTCTGGCTCTGCCGCATGCCTGTGGAAGCCTCACTCAGGAGGACCTTCCATTGACACTGGCAGCATTCCTGGCTGTGGTCCCTTGGCATGCTGGGAGATCAGCATCCCAGCATCACCATCCTGGGATCACTACCTCAGGACTATCATCCTGGGAAAACTGCAGGAGAGGGGACAGCAGAGCCAGGGAGGGATTTTCCTGGGCAGTAGGCACCAGCCCAGCTGCAGCAGGGAGTTCCTGTCAGGCAAAAGGGGAAAGTTGGTCCCAGGGAGGGTTTGGGTTCAAACAGAGCCAGTCTGGGGCCAGAAATCTCCCAGCACTGCAGGGATCCAGCACCTCCAGACAGTCCTGGCCTCTCCAAGCCCTAGAGGGGCTTGAGGGCTCAGAAGTGGGCCAGAGGGGTGAAAATGAAGTGAAACCAGAGTCCATATCCATACTGGGAGAAGGCTGAAAGCCAGCGGTCTCTGTGGAGGTAGTAACAGAGCAAGGTCATTGTCTCCTACACGTGAGGGAACAGGAAGAGTGACTGTCACCTGTGATTTCCCCATTGAGGCCGAGCATGGGGAACATGGGGATGCCTGGCAGAGCCCAGCTGAGCAACAGGAAGACCAGAAATGTGAAATATTTCCAAAGCCTCCTGCAAAGTGTGTCACGTCTTTCCGTCCGGGGCTTGAAACCACTCACAGAGGAACAGGACTGGGGGTGGGGGGGAAGAAGTGCATGAAACCACCTTCAGATGTTCTTCAGTGCTACCTGCCTGGGCACCATGACCACAACCTGGCTGAGGGGGTAGGAGAGGCAGCTGCAGTAGTGATGCTCAAGGGGGTGGAGAGGCTGGTGGGATCCAAGGGTACTTGAAGAACTTCGGAGGTTCCCATTGGGCTCTGAGATGCCCAGAGAGCTCAGAAGGCTTTTGAAGGACCCACACAAACCAGGGGACCCCATGATTGATGGAGGAGCCAGGTATCTCCTGGAGGGATGTGATGCTACATTGATGGGGGAGGCCCCCAACCTGAGAAGAGTTGGTCAGTCTATGGGGGAACCCTTTCTTCCACAGGAGTTAGGGAAGGGACAGGATTGGGGTGAAGAGGAAGAAACCAAGGGGTGCAGGGACATATGAGGGACAGTGTCCACCTGCAGCACTGCCCGTTACTTAGCACAGTGTGAATACAGTGGAGTGACGCAGGAGTGCTGCCCAGTGCTTGGAGGGGACCTGGGCAGCAATGTAGATGCCAGGGGACCCAGAAATGCTGTCACGTATGGCCCACACCACTCTGCTGGTCCACACCACTCTGCCACCCCACACTCATGCCGTTTTGTGCTCCACAGGAAAAATGGAGTCCTTGTCCTTCAACGGGGATTTCTCCAGCTTATTCTCCCTCTACAACTACACCTATGACTACAGCACAGCCCTGCCCGACACCGCTATCTCCTCTGCCCCGTGCCGGCCCGATAGCTCCGTCCTCAACAAGTACCTAGTGGTGGTGATCTACTGCCTCGTCTTCATCCTCAGTGTAGTGGGGAATGGGCTGGTGGTGCTGGTGGTGACCTCCAGCCACACCAGCCGCTCTGTCACCGACATCTACCTGCTCAACCTGGCCGTGGCAGACTTGCTCTTTGCTTTCACCCTGCCCCTCTGGGCCACCTACCGAGCCCACGAGTGGGTCTTTGGCACCGTGATGTGCAAAGCCATCTCCGTGCTGCAGGAAGCCAACTTCTACAGTGGCATCCTGCTGCTGGCGTGCATCAGCGTGGACCGCTACCTGGCCATTGTCTACGCCACCCGGGCTGCCACTGAGAAGAGGCACTGGGTGAAGTTTGTCTGCTTGGGCATCTGGGTCTTCTCTGTGCTGCTCTCCCTGCCTGTGCTGCTCTTCCGTGAGGCTTTCACCTCACCCAGCAATGGCACCGTGTGCTACGAGCGCATTGGTGGCGAGGACACGGCCAAGTGGCGGGTGGTGCTGCGGGTGCTGCCGCAGACCTTCGGCTTTGCCTTGCCCCTCCTGGTGATGCTCTTCTGCTATGGCGTCACCATCCACACCCTCCTGCAGACCAAGAATGCTCAGAAGCAGCGGGCCATGAAGGTCATCTTTGCCGTGGTGCTTGTCTTCCTCATCTGCTGGCTGCCCTACAATATCACACTGGTGAGTGACACCCTCATGAGGACACGGGCTATCACCGAGACCTGCGAGAGGAGGAACCGCATCGACACAGCCCTCTCTGTCACGCAGGTCCTGGGCTTTGCCCACAGCTGCATCAACCCCATCATCTACGCCTTCATTGGTCAGAAGTTTCGCAACAGCTTCCTTAAGATCCTAGCACAGCGTGGGCTGATCAGCAAGGATGCTGTTGCCCGTTACGGCCGTGCCTCCTATGCCTCCACCTCTGGCAACACATCCACCACCCTTTGAGCCCTTCTGGTACCCAGTCCTTGTGGCTCCCTGCAGGTCCCAGCACCCCACACACCTCAGCATCCTTATTGAGCCCCATGGAATGTGGGTAGTGATACTATGGGGATGGGCAGGGCCACCACTGGATGCTGGACCCCAGCTGCAAGGGGACTTGGGTGGCAAGGTGGTAGGATCCCATTGCCAGAGGAGTGATGCCAAGTGCTGCCCACCCTTCTCTCTCTTTGGGATGAAGCCTGTGACTCTAGGGATTTTGAGAGCCTACTGTAGTGTTTGTGGCCATCGGCCATACAGCAATAAAGGAGTTAGTGGGTTGGTCACCCATGTCTGGCTCCTCTTTGCCACGGGAAAGGAGACAGCAGGACAAGGCCAGGGCTCATCTCCAGGGACAGTGCCAAAATGGTGGTGCCAGCTGAACCTTTTGGAGTGTGGGTAACTCTGCTTTCAGGACAGGGAAGGGCTGTTGCCCTAGAGGCTATTGCAGAGGATTTGGCATCCTGTACATCCACAGAAGGGACCCAGGTTTCTCTCCTTACAGCCACCCAGCCAGGTCCTAGCACTTCCCTTGTACAGAGGTCTCCATGTGGAGTCTGTCCCACCTGGGGACAAAGCCATTCCTTTCCCAACCCCAGTCCAAGCTCCAGTGGAGCAAGTTGCTGAAAGATCCCTAAGCAGCCCCTCACTGACACCAAGCCAGCATTGTGACTCTTACCTGAAGGGTGCCAGCACCCCAGGCACCCCCTTCTCCCCCCGACACCACGGTGTCAGGATATTGTTGTGCAATGGGCTGGGAACCTGTCCCTTACACAAACGGGATGTTTCTGCCCTGGCTTGGGCAACTGTGGCTGATACTTGACTGGGGTAGAGGAACTGAAGAGGGGGCTGTGACCCTGCTGGGGACTCTCCTGCCACCCCATGTGCCAGGCATTGGCATGCCTGCCCCAGCACTCTTAAGCACCTCTGCACAGGGGTCCCACACTGCTCCTCCATTACCCTCGATCCAGGTTCCTGGGGGTCCTTAACCATGGGGGCATCAATGGCTGTCACCCATGTGCTGGCTCATGGGTGAGTACAGGGGTCCCCCAGCACCCAAAAGGGAGCCCTAGGGACTTGAGGCTGAGCAGGGTCAGTGGGATTGCTGAGCCCATCACCTTTGCATCTGAAAAACCTCTTGCCCAAGTGGTTCCTCGCAGTGTGGTAGGAAGCCAGAGCTGTTGGCCAAGAGCTGTCTTCCCTCCCTGCTGTGGGACAGAGTAGGCAGTGGCTCAGCCTGGTTGCAGCCAGGACACCCCTTTTGGGGACAGTTTCCCCCAGCAGGACTTGAACACCCCCATGCCAGCATTCCCCCACCCCACACCCAGCCTGGGTGTCAATCTGGCAAGGACTGACAGATGACATGAGAGCTGCAGGGATAGTAGAAATGGGTTGTTTTCCTTTTTGTGGACCAGCCACAAGAAGGACAGATTTCAAACCTGAAACCTGTTGGGCAGCAGGATCTGCGTGAAGGCCCTGGACACCTGGGTCCCCAGTAAGTCTGAGAGGAGACAGCCAGGGCAGGAGGTGTCCCAGGAACGGTGCCAGGGCTGCAGTCCCTGCTCATGTAGCCTGTGGGTGCCTTTGCTGGTAACAAATCAGGCAGCAGCGGCCCTGCTTGCCAAAGTCCATGGAGCACGCGTGGCACACCTTGCCCTGGCACAGCCTGCTGAGAGAGCAGGTGGTGAGAGCTGTGCCACCCCAGTGCTGTGTCAGTGCCACCCCGCGTTACCCCCATAGCCCACCTGCAGCTGTACCGCCGGGAGAGGAGGCGGAAATCCTTGTGGCAGCGGGAGCACAGCCCTGTCTCACGGGGTGCTGGGCCGGGCATGGGGGTGTCGATGCCCTCTGTCTTCTGCCACAGGGCATCCTTCTCCCTGCAGGAGGGGACAGATCAGCCCTGTATTTGTCTGGGCTCTGGTGCCCTCCTCTGGGCAAAGGGGTTTGGGCCCCCTTGCCCTTGCGTGGATTTTCCGGGGCTCTCACCGCAGCAGCTCCAGCAGCCGCTCCTTCATGTCGCGGATGAGCTCCTGCTGCCGCGCCTGCTCGGCGCCACGCATGGCCTCCCGCTCCAGGGCCTCCCGCTGTGCCCGCTGCAGTGCTGATGCCCAGCGCTCACCGTCCTGCCGGGCCCTGGAGTGGGGCAGTGGGGAGATGGTCCCCCTGTCTCTCAACTGGTCATCTCTCCCTCCATGCATGCATGCGTGCATGCATCCATCCACCCATCCCTCCCTCCTTTTCTCTGATGCCCATCCATCCCCAAGCTGTGTCCCCATCCCCACAAGACACCTTGTCATCTGCTGAGTCAGCCACCCATCCGTTTCCCTGCTGTTCATCCATCCTTTCCCACACCCATTCCCCTAGCCCTCTGCCCACCCACCTATCCATTTACTTCCCCCAAATTCATCCCTCTGTCTTTCCATCCACCATCCCATCTCCATCCATCCATCCCAAATTCATCCCTCCTGCCCTCCCTCCATCTACTCACCCCAAATCACTCCACTGCTCTGCCCACCCACCCCTCCACCTTCTTATCAGTTCCAAATTGACCCCTCCCTGCAGCTATCCTTCCCCAAATCCTTCCCTTCCCCCCTCCCCATCCCCAGCTGCTGCTCCCCTGTGTCCAAGTGGGATGTCACTGGGGGTCCCAAGGGAAACCATGTGGCAGGTGGAGATGGGGGATCCCATTGTGGGGTGGTGGGTGGTGGAAGTGGGGGCTCCTGCCCAACCTGCTGAGCTCCTCCTGCAGCCGTGCCACCTCCTGTTGCTGGGCCTGGAGCTGCTGCCGGCTCTGCCAGGTCTCCTCCCGCGCTGCAGCGGCCAGGCTGGCCAAGCGCTGTGAGAGAGTGGCGGGTCAACCTCGGACCCAAAAACCTGGCCCCACCGTGAGATTCCCTCAGGCTTGCTCATACCATGGCCATGCTGGCAGCTGTGCTGTGCTTTCCCTCTGCCTGGGGGTCCAGTGGGGGCTCCTGGGGACCACAGGCGAGCTCCAGTGCCTGCCGCAGCACCTCCTCCACAGTGGCTACCTCATTCAGGGCACCAGCACGCCCCAGGATGTCTGCCTGTCCTGCTGCCACCACCGCTTCCTGGCACTCCCGCAGGCGTGAGGTCAGCGCTGCTGCCTCTGCCATCACCTTGGCCAGCTGGGTGCCCCTCTCCTCTGCCACCTCCTGCCAGCTCCGCGCCTCCTCCTGTGCCTGTGCCAGAGCCCCTGGGCACCCTGCTGCCACCACCATCTCCAGTGCCTGCTCCAGGAAGGTGTTGGTCTCCCGCAGCGCCTCAGCCTCCTGTGCCCACAGCCGGGCCCGCTGGGCACTGCCCTCCTCCTGTTGCTGGTGCCGCAGTTCTGCCCGTGCCAGCTGTGCTGCCAGTGCCTGCACTGCCACCTCCTTCTGACCCAGCTGGGCCCTCAGTTGGGACACCAGTGCCTGCAGGGATGCCTCCATCCCACCTGGCTGCTTGGGCACCACCGATGGAGAACTCAGCATGCATCTCATGCCAGCAAGTGGGGTAGTGCCAGGCTCCCTGGCACCATCAGGCTGAGGTGATTTGCCAGAGCCATGTGCATCCTTCAGTTCCTCTAAATCTACATCCTCCATCTTCTTCTCGTCTTCCTCCAACTTCTCTTCGTCCTTTTCTTCCAAATCCTCCTCCATGTCCTCCTCCACATCCACCTTCACATTCTCCACCTCCTCTGTATCCTTGTCCTCATCCTTTTCCACCTCCTCTTCATCCTCCTCTTTCATGTCCTTCTTCACCTCTGTGTTTTCCACACCCCCCTCCATGTTCTCCACCTCTACATCCCCTGCTCGCAGGGCAGACAAGGTGTGTGGAAATGGGTGAGCTGGTGTCCCACAGGGTGCCGCGATGGGATAGGCGATGCCATCAGGCCATTTGTGTGCCCCAGTGCTGGTGTTGTCTGTCTGCAGGGCTGCCTTTCCTGGGATGCTCCTGGTCATCGAGCTGGGTCGTACCAGCGACCTAGGGGGGACACAGGGCTCAGGGTCACCGGGTCACCCCCAAGGTAAGCAGGGCACTGCCACCCTCCCTCTGAGCTCCCTGTGCACATCCAACCTTCAGGGATGTAAAGGGCAGCAGGGCTGGTGACACCAGGTGGCACCTGGTGGCAGGGTACCAGAGATGCTGGTGCCACCAGCCTGAGAACCCACAGAACGGGTGGCACCCAGAGACCCCTGTGGTGGTTGCAGGGGGGCATTGGGGGGCTGCATGTATGCTTGTGGCAGTGTGTGCACACAAGTGTGCGAGCAGCAGAACAGGTGTGAGTGTGCTGGAACATTTGCATTCATGAGTGTCTCCCTGCAAGTGTACCTGGGGGCCAAGGGTGTGGCAAGCACACAGATGTGCCCCCTTGTGCCAGATGTCACAGTGTCACAGTGTTGCAGCAGACCTGTGCCTGGGGGTGTACTTGGCAGAGGATGGCTCTCTGTGTGTGTACACGTGTGTGGCATGTTTGCAGGCATAGGCACGGGGGGGTGTGTGCTGGTGCCAGTATCTGTGCCCTCCTGGGGCCATATATGGAGGGCTGGCACCTCTGGGGTGCCATGTGGGGTCCACAGAAGTGGGACAATGTCCATATGCTTCTCTGCAATGCTGAGCCCCAGGTACCTCTGATGCCTCTGACATTGCTGGTACCACCAATGCCCCAGTGCCCCAGTGTCCCCAGGCTCACTCAGAGAACATGGGCCAGGAGGTGTCCAGGTCGTCCCTGTGCAGGGCCAGGTGGAAGGTGACACAGTCCAGCTCATAGAGGCTGCCCAGGATCTCCGCCCGGTGCTGGGGGCTCAGGAAAGGGCTGCGGGCGTAGTACCACTCGCTGCAACCACAAATCAGGATCATGCACCCATATGTGCCCTGGGTGGGCACATATGCCTGCAGGACCCTTACTGACCAGGTGCTGCAGGGCACTGCCCATCTTGGCCATGTCCCCCACCACTGTGAGCATCTCCTCACTGTGCCCCTGCTCTCACCGGAGGCTCTCGGGGTCGAGGAGGCAGAGCTGCAGGGACTCTGCCAGCTGCCGGTGCACCAGGCAGTACCGCAGGAAGGCTCGGCCCCTGCCCACAGGGGTCTTCAGCTGGGAGGGAGAAGGGGTTATCAAGCCCTGTCACACCAGTCTGCTCCCTACACACCTTCCCCCCAGCCCATGCAGGAGGAAAGGAAGTCCCCAGGTCCAGGGCTGAGGGGAGAAAACCCTTGATAGCACCAGTGCGTGAATCCTCAGTGCCCAGGTGAGTGTGTA